ATATATATATATATATCGAGTGTTATCATTTCTCATAACTCGGGTGAACTTGGGTTTACAGAATAATGGTCAACATTTTATTTTTTTGACTTTTTATTAAGTTAAAAATCTACACCAATCTTATATAGGTTATGTTTATTCTAACTTTTAATTTAAAAGGTATATTAAGTTTAAAATTAAAACTAAGTGTTTCAAAAGTAAAATAGAAGATGCTTAATATCTTTTTATTTTTTATTTTTTTAACTTAAAAAAATATAAGCTAAAAGACTAAAGAAAGAAGAAAGAATGTTCAAAGGAAAGAACCCAAAAGAGAGGGGAAAGAAAAAAAGAAAGGTCAGATTCTTTGAAAGTTTCTTCACATTATTAAAAAAAAAGTCACTAACTTTGTTTTTTATATGAAAATTAATCTACATAAATTTTAATGTTTCAAAAATAAATTTGATATAAATACATATATTCTTAAAAAAAAAAAAAAGTGCTGAGCTAAGTAGTGGTCCTAACCAAGAATGATTTTAGGCTATTTATTTATTTATTATGACATGATTTTAGGATCTTTATGAATGACATGGCAACCTCATTTAATTTTTTTTTAAAGAAAAATATGATATTAAAGTAGGAGGCAGTGTGTGAGCCAGTTGTGAAGAACGTGGGTAGGTAAGGAACCGTCAAAGACTCAAATGCAATATTGACTCTCTTATTTTGGTATGATGCAATTGTGACGTTTGTAATACGTAACTTGTTTAACCAAATCCTTTTGTAGAAACTACAAATTACAGCACTCGTTGGAGTCTTGGATTTCATTTAAACAATCAAAATTTCGAGAAATTAATTTTCGACCAAATTGATGGCTAGTTCTATCTATATTATGATTTTAAAAAATAAATAACAGCACTCATGGTTAGTTAAAAAATAATAATAAATAAAGATGAATAAAGTATATATACAAATAGAATGTAAAAAAAAAAAAAATCAAATTATAGGCAGAATTTTCTATGGCTTGGAAGATAGCTACTTCATATAATCATGTCATTTTTTTTCTTTTATATACGCAAAATGAATTGACATAGCCACATAGGCATTTAATTTAGGCATGAAGTTCACTGATGGGAAAAGTTGTCTTCTTTCTTTGTCACATGATGAACAGGATAAATCAGGATAAGGAGGAAGATTTTATGCCGTTTTTTTAATTGTTATTAATTTTATTTTAATAACTTGTATAAAAAATAATAATTTAAATATTAATATCAATAATTCAGTGAAAATTTTAATTATTATTAAAAAATAGTAAAAATAATATTGAAAGTACTTAATTACTAACTTGTATATTTCATAAATGAATTACATGATTAGTTAAATTATTTAAAATTAAATAATAAACTACTAGAATCAACTTAATAATAGAAGAATATGTATATGATTTTATATTCAAACTCTATAAGGTAGATAGATTAAAAAATAGTAATTTGTTAAACTTATATGCTTAAGACTGCGAAAAACTACTTAATTTTTTTAAATAAATTAATATAATCACGTAAACAAAACATTTAGTCATCGTATTTTTAAGAAACGTATTTTATTATCATCGACTCATCATCTATATTTAAATAAGAAGATGTAAAACGAGGAAGAAAATATTATATTAAAAGTTGGAGCAAGAAAATTTTAAGATACAAAATACTTGAAGGAAAAGAATATTTTTTGTGAGTAGTTTTTCTCCACCAAAATCTCATTTAAATTGTCCATTTTTCATTTGAAAATGTAAGAAACACTTTTTTCAATCAATCTATTTTATTAGTCAAAATTTATTAAAATTTTGTAAATTTTACATTCTAAATTTTATTTAAAAAATGTGCTAAACAAAATATGTTACGAAATATGAAAACAGTAACGCTTCTCTTCACGAATATATTTGGGGGCATAAATAAATGTTACATGTTACTATATTAGTTTAAAAAAGTATATCAAATAAACCTCTCAAATAATTATAACGTATCGTATTTAAACATTTTATTGTTAAATTTATTTGTTAAAAAAGTATTCGTCTTTGAGGGGTTATGATTTATTTATTTTTTATTTATTTGTAGAGGGGCTATGATTTGATAGATTAGGAATAGGATATGTGAATCTTACAAAGTGTTTCGTCCAACATGAAAAGCTTGATCTCAGAGTCAAGGTCAATAATACTACGCTTAAGTAGTTCAGCTATCACAGCTGATAGCAGTTTTTCTTTCTTTCTTTTTAAAAAAAAATAATAATAATTTTGATAAATTATATGAGAAACTTTTAGAGTACCCTGTTTGAAATAATAGAAATAGTAAAGAAATTGAATAGTTGGAGAAGGAATGCCTAAACCACTATTTTAGAGTACTTTTACAAACTATTTATCAAAATGGGGTTGTTTTGAAATATATTACACCTTTGGGACTGTTTTCTACGGTGTCGCTATGGCCCATAGCGACACTAGTGACATGTGGCAATTTTGGGTCTGATTATAAGCCATGAACGCCATATTAGTAGAGTCGCTGTAGCTGCTGGAGTCTCAAAAGAAGTCGCTATAGCCTATAGCGACTCAATCCGGCTAAAACTGAAGTCGCTATAGCCTATAACACCACATTTATATAAATAATATAAAAAATATATTAATATAAATTTAAAAATATAAAAAATTATGTGAAGAAAAAACGAATAAAAATAACATAATATAAGAAAAATAAAAAATAAATTTTGTTAAAAAATAATAATTAAACTATAAAATAATAATTGAAAAAAATAA